GGGGGGGGGGGGGGGGGGGGGGGGGGGGGGGGGGGGGGGGGGGGGGGGGGGGTAGTAGGCATGTATGTATTGTACACCGCTCGTTTTCATCTCGTGATGGTAGTTCCACACTACTGAGGAGTGTGCTACCCAAACGGTTGAATGCGAATTTCACTCGGTGTTGTGAGTTCGTCGTGCACGATGTTTCGATCGTTTTGCCCACCGGATTACAAATTGTGTGTGCTAAGCATAGGATGGTGGTTTGATCGGGGCAGGGAGCAGAAATCGGCTTCTCGTCGATAGATTTGACGCAAGTGCTGCGACGTCGGCGAACCGTTTTTCTCTCTCCTTGAGTAGTAAGCAGTTCTGAGGGGAGGAAAGTGGTGAGTGGAGGTCGCAAAACGAGCCCAAACCAAATTGCGCGGGGGAGGTGGTGGATGGTGTGCGTGGATGTGGTAGGAAAACACTGCAAAAGTGGCTGTGGCAGTCAGGTGTGTGTGTGAGCGGGGCTGTCCATAGTGTTGATGCTGCAGTCACCCGGGTGTCTGCTGCCCTACAAACTGGGGAATATTCAAGCAAAAGTAGACTGTGCTCTTTTCGTTAACATTCAAGGGTCCAAACACGGGGTATATGTCGAGTGGGGGGTAATAACCAGCGAACGAGGGACGTGGCGTTAGGTGGGAGGGGAGGGAACAGGCGGCGGAGGAAACGGGGAGGGGGTGGGTCGCGGGTTAGGTGTGGGTAAAAATTTCGGTAGACGGTGTGTACTCGCGGGAGGTAGACAACCGAGAGTCTAGATAACAAGGTGAAAAAAAAAAAGATTTCAGCAACACGCGGAGTTTTTTTCGCTCAGGGTGGTTGGGGCGGCACGGTCGTCGTTCTCCGGTGCTCGATTCTGGCGGCGACGCAGGCGCTTTCGTCTGCCCTTACTTAAACTATATCTTGGCTCGAACACAGCAGCGATGCTAGTGAACGGGTGCTCGCTGTCGGCGCGACAGCACGTTTCGTGCAAGTGAGTCGACGCAACGGCATCAATCCGTCTTGGTGTTTGCGGTTGCGGCAATTTTTTAGGGGTAACGGTCGTGTCCCTCCCCTTGAATGACTCCTCCGAAGCAAGCGACCACTTGCACGTGTTCGAAGCCAATCGCAACTTCAATCAAAACTCCAGCGGAGGCAAGACTGCCAATTTGAACGCACGACAAGACGACGCATAGAGAAGATACGCACTACACTTCCGTTGCACCATATATAGTTGCAGGTTAACTTATTTCATGCGGCCGTCCCCCTCCATGCTGGTAGACCTCTCTCTCAGAACTTCCCCCGATTTTTTGTCGGGCAGAAGAGACCCGCGTGATGACTGCAGTATCAAAGTGTTCTGCGTTGTTGTACTCATAAAAACTTTAACTCTATTTCAAACTGCGGTTGCGGTTAGTGTACACAAGACAACCAAGGGCAAGTAAAGACCACTCCAGCAAAAAAAGGCGACGATATACACACGAAAGCTGCGGTCTCAGGTCCACCTATATTAGGCCGATTACTAGCTCGGGGCGTCGGCCGCAGACAGACTTGTTCAATCGCAAGACACACGCCTTGCTTCGTTGGGGACGCCTGGCAGAAGCATCGCTTTGAAATACTTGTAACTCGACACGTGCGTGGCCCTTCATCTCATGATTCCAGCTCGTTCGCGTTGTCGATGTGCACCGCGCAGCCGTACACGGTCACAATGCAATGCATGTTTTGATTCTCCCACGGTACCTGTTAAAGAGAAGCAAAACGATAGCACCGAGCGAAGAATGTGACGAGCCAGAGGGGTTGCGGGTTGCCAGAACCGGCCGGAGTCTCTCCAGCTGTAATGTTGGGCATGGTGAAGCTCAACATTCTCGCTCATATTCAACGAAAGGTGAAACCCCCACTTGTGGCAAGTTTTAGCGCTTAAATAGCAGGCCCCTAAAATGGTAGGCAGCTCCAGAGGTTTCGGACTCGCTGCACGTGGACTCATATTTAATGGGAATGATGGACAGGGCGTAAAAATATTACCATAAGGTTAAGACATGCATCCATATCTTTCGCGATTTTCCTATAGTGCAAAAAAATATGGAGGTCCTCACTTAAACATCATCGCGAAAGAGTCAGCGCTCAGATGATTGTATTTCTTACCAGAGCCGTACTTGTGCCTTTTTCGATTCGACAGTCACGTTGATACGTTTCGTGATTTTCCTCCTTCAGAAAGAGGAGGTCCTAAGTTGTTCGCGAAAAGAAACAACGCTCAGAGGATATACATGTCATTCACTGTTCACTTTTTCTTCTTGGTTTTGACACAAATTCATGGCATTCCGCCATCGTCATCGAGTGACCGGCGTGCACAGCAGTCTTCACCTTTCGAAACTGCCTGGTGCACTCACCTGGCAAAAATTGTCTTTCGTGGTATCCCACACCATGGATGCGCATGTGTTTACCCCGGCCCCGTTTTTTTGCATGATTATACACGTGATGATGTACTTGTAGGGCTTGTTGAGAGGCTGTAGCTCCTTGAGACAGTTGTCGACGATGGTGTTGGTCCAGTCCGTCACCTGGCATTGCAGTTATGGACCACACCATGCACCATCAGCAGGTGAGCTGCGTTCACAATCCCCTCCGCGGGATTATGCAAGACATTAACCATTCACTAGAAACTAGGCAAGACAGCTAACGTAAACTTTACATATGCACTGAGGCAGGGAATGTTCTTTCTTCACCAAACATAAGTTTTCTGTATGCCCGCATAGTGTGTCACCGTGTTCCACGGGATCGTACCTGCATGCCGCTGGCACGGCACTCGCATAGTAGCGATGCCAAGTTTAAATCAGGGGCATGGACGGCAATGCTCGGGTACATGGCTCGAGTACAGGGCCAATGGGTTAGGAGCTCCTTGCGTCTTGTCAAAAACTACGCGCGTGCGGTGATTTACTGCACGTACTTCCTTCAACACCCTCATAGATGTGATTGGGTGATAAAATGTAGACGGTCGAGAAGACAACATGTAGACTATTCTAAACCTAGACAATTTGGACGCGGCGAGGGCATTTTTAGAAAGTAGTCAAATATCACGGAAGACTACCCATGCGAGATATCACCGCAGTCGAAAAGAGTGTATAGTCTAGTAGACGAATTGATACCACTACGTAGACTAATTGATACTAATCGAAGATACAATAGGCTGGTGCTACGCTATTCTAAAGTACACAACTAGTCTGGACTATACTGCTGAAACAGCAGGGTTCGTTTCATGTATGTATGTCAACCTGACCTTCTTTGGGTTGTACATGACGTCGGTCAAGCAACCAGTGATGGCGTTCTTGACGATAGTTTCCACATCCTCAGACGAAAACTCCGCCGCGTCGTCCTGGAAATCCATGTTTGTTCAGCGGTAGATCCTAATATCCATGCACCCGCACGGACTCCTTCCGACGGAGGGCTACCTGTTCTCTCGGAAGTCACCCTTGCTCTTGCCCCACGCTGATCCTTTCTGACGGAAAACTCGTGACGTCTCAAGTAGAACTGCACTTGAGCGCTACACACTGCGCATGCGACGAGAGATCTCCAGGTATCGTTAGGTCTCCGCACCAGCGCGGAGCACGAAGACGGGCGACTTGGAACTTGGAACTACTTTTGTTGCGTTTGGGACAAACATGCCTCCTGAACCGCCTGGAAACCCATTTCAAGCGAAGGCGCTATCTGCGGTGCCCCTGCGTGCTTGGTTCTGTCGCTGTGCTGGCTCTGCCGTCTGCCAATCACTCTCATGTGTGCAGTGTGCCGCGACCCAGGGCCAGGTTAGCACGATGAAGAACAAGGGGAACGCCAAGAAGGCTGATAGAACGGCCGAGCGGCGCGGAGCAGCAGCAGCAGCAGCAGCAAGCACGCGTACAGCAGGTTCGGGTGGACAGCAAGCAGACAGAGCCAATGGACGAGGCAGCCGCGAGGTGACCAGGTGTTCCTCATGTGCCAACCATATGATAGCCTGGGCTCCATGTAGCACCATCGCTAGTGAGGTCTTGCCGGTGCTGAGTCCAAGCTGAAAGGCCGTAGATGGAATATGCTGGGTTGACCAGGCTGGGAGACTCCTCGGCTCTCTGTGTAGTCAACGGTACACCAGTTACCACTGCTGTATCTTCCTGCTGTCTTCCAGCAGCAGCGAGGGTCGCTGCTGCAACAGCGTGTACCCGGCCCGAGTGCTGCTGTGTCGGTCACCTGCCATGTATACCAACCAACCTTTGCCAGCTGTTGCATGTGCTGTACGCGTACGGTTTCAACTCACTTCGTCGAGACTTGTCTTTCTTTCCCCCCTCACACCACAACTCAGCAGTCTACTCTGGGACAAGAAATGCTTGCATACCACTCGTACGAGCCCCCTACACTCCATTGTACCACTGTATGCGTAAGGCTATGATTATTAGACCGCCAACTCTGCGTTGCCACACAGCAGGTCAGCTTGCTACTAATAGCTGTTTCTCCACAGCGGTACGAAGAAGGCTCAACAAGCAAATGTCAGCCGACTGGGCAGACCCCGTCGAGAGAGGTACCCTTGACCTGGTGCTGGCAAGGGAGGAGGGTCGGAAATTGTTGAAAGGCTAGTGAGCGAGTACGACCGGACAATCGGAGCAAGACAGGGCCCTGCTGTTAGCGCCTGGTGTACCAAAACCAACAGTGCTCACAATAGCATGTACCACAGTCAGTTTTAACTTGTCATGTTTCTTTGGCGACTGCCCCCCCCCTCCTCCCCCTCGGTGTTTGCCATCGGGGTTGGGTTTTCGTCGCTTGGCAACGACGTTGTAAAACAAGCCGCTTCACTTCGTGAACTCGGCAACCAGGTTACCGGGTTTTTTTTTCACCTCTGTTTTTTTTTTTGGCGGTAACCATAATGGTGGTCGAGTAGATCATGTTGTGCGGGGTCGAGAACCCTCGCTCCGCGCAAGGGGGATGATCGCACCACGTTGTGTTAAAATGGTCAAGCACCCTCGAGGCAGTTACACAGTGCTTACAACTGTC